GAGTCAATTCCGTGCAGACCGGGGATTGACATTTCTGTACTGCGTTAGTTTCGCCCACTTTCAAGAAGTGTCAAGCGCAGGAAAAATACTGAGACAAGGTAGTCCCGGCCGTCATTGGTCCTAAGTTTTAAATAAAATAAATAAAAATAAATAAAATAACTAGTTTTGTTTGATAAACTTACCCATTCGTCCCCACCCTTCTATCCTGTAGTGTTTCCTTTTTTTTTTTTTTGCTTTAAACGTACCATGCATGGCATTGTTTCTCAATAGTAGCTCACCTATTACAGATGTGTCAATGTCACGTATAAGTTTCTAACAGCACAGAGCAGTTTTGTCACAGCCTTTTGCTACTTTCCAATGCTATTTTCATGGTTATTACTATACACTAAACGAAGTTATTTTTAACTTTTGTTTTACAGCTACATATATGCTTGCACTTCTTGTCTCAGAATCAAGTCTGATAAATCGTGTACTATTTGTTTTGTGATAACTTCTCCAGAAGGACCAAACTCCATCCTACGCTCTTTGTAAATACAGGATTATGATGCTTTACACCTGTTGGAAACACTAAGTCAAACACATCTCACCTGCTGTTGACATCTGTATTTTTGCAGGATCTGTTACACTTTATTTTCCACTGTTTTCACAAGCAATCTTCAAAAGATCAAGGTAGATATGAGGGCTTATCTGGGTTTTCCGAGATAAGTTTCTTTGATGTCTACTTATCTCACTATGTGTGAGAAGAACTTAAAAAGGAATGTAACCTTGTTGGAAATGTGTTTTTTGTGCAGTTTAAACATATGAGTATTAAGTGCTATTTTGATTGGGGATGTTTATGGTTTTTGCCAGAGCCCTTTTTATGAATATGAGGATTTTCCGGAAATTTGTAAACCACCCCCAAAACCAGGTTGTGATTGTAAGTAGTATAAAAATGGATTGGGGCTGAGTACAAACCTAAGAGAGTGAGATGTAGGCAAACCACATTGTTATATTCAAGTCATATTTCCAAGACAAGAGTAGTCCAGCAAACTACACTGCAGCCAACAGGAATCGGGTTATAGAGCTACAGGAATTGACTCTGTTTCAAAAAGAAGCCAGATAGAACAGGAACAGATGGTAAACCTTTAAGTGGATGAGGTACAAGGCTAGAGGACACAAGGCTCTAGGTAAGGAGAAAGTTCAAATGAAGGAATAAGGATCTACAGTAGATAGAGTCACACAACATCTTCTACCATAGAAAGAAAACCAGAAAGTATTTCTGAATGACGGATCATTGAGCCAGAGGCTCAGAATGTTTTATAGAATAATCAGACAACATCTATGTGTCATATCACCATGGCCTGGAACTAAGGGTGGACACCCAGGAATGAGCCTGAAAGTATATGGTGCTCTATGTGCACCCATTGGCCATTGAGTTAGGGGTCCTCGTCAAGAAATGTACAAGTCATTTTCACAGGTCATTGCACTTCTTGCTCTTACCGAACCCTCCTGTGTTTTAAATGCAGATGCAAATAAGGGTTTGTTTTTACTTTTTTAAAATGACAGGATTTACTAGATGCAAACGGTTTATTTTTCACTTTACTTTAGACATCTAGGTCTACAAAAGCTATACATGTCTAGTATACATCTAATTGTATCAAAAAGAAGGGAGATTGCAGAAGATCTCCAAAAATAAACATCACAAGATATAAATCTTCACAATAAGGATTAGAAAACAACACTAAAGATATATGGACAGAAAAGTAGAATGGTAGGAAAAGAACGTGATGAGATATAGGTTAGCATAAATGCAATACGAAAGGCTGGATTCCCTGGTGTATTAAAGTAACCACTATAGCGTTAGGAATACAAAAGTGTATTCCTGACTCTTTAGTGTCCCTGAACCATAAACTTATTGTGCACCTGTCCCACTTTACCCTGCAATATAAACATTGCAGTTTCTCTGACACTAGGGCCAGAGACACTGCACCCAGACCACTTTAATGAGATGAAGTGGTCTGGGTGCCTGTAGTGTCCTTTTAAAAGAGATGCAGCAGACCAATGTTACAAGTGGCCAACATCCAGTTGAAACGTTACACACGCAAATACTTTATTTCATTAAATCACTAGGAGAGATAAAAATAGAGAACATTTTTTGTCGTTCTTTTAGGTTATTCAATGTCAATGTGGCTGCATGCCTAAAAGCAGTTATCACCTAATCAAATTTACTATGCCCTGCTGTCAGTCTAGATATATTATTTGCCTATAGAGAATATATTTTATTTTCATTAGCTGTGTGCCAGGGCATCATTGTACTTTACCCCAAAAGCTACTTGCACACAAATAGTTAGGATTCCCGACAGTCAATACACAATGATCATAGTTACAGGTACAGAACTTTTATAACAAAAGGAAAAATGTAGACTAAAATAGGTTGGTGTAAAAAAAAAAAAAAAAAAAAAAAAATTTTTATTTTTTTTTATATTCGCTATAGTTAGAGCCTTGTTACTTTAGTCTACATTTTTCAGTTTGGTTTTCATTTCACTTCAATTCAGTGTTCACTGTACACTTAAAAAACAAAAAATTACTTTGATGTAAAAACTGTATGTTGTTTAAAAATGTTCAGCAGTTTTTAAGATGTTTTTTAATATATTACTGCATGCCTTCCCAGAAACTTATTATGCTTTGTGCAATTTTTCTGAAGCCTGCATTAATTATAAAAAAAAAAAAAAAAAGTTACATAGATTTATAAAAAAAATAATATATATATATATATATATATATATATATATATATATAATCAGTATAACACAGGTCTAGCGAATGCAACCAATTATTTCAATAATCAGGTAATGTATGCATAAATATGTTACTAAGAATAAAAAAACAAAAACATGCAGACCGTTTGAGAAAATGTTAATGCAACCTGGACAGATTTTATGCTCTATTGATTAATGCTAAGTCATTTTTTTTTTCATGTGACAGATCTGTTCTAAGCTCTAGCACACAAGATCTCGCCTTTATTATGTGTTTAAATTGATAAAAAATGTATGTATGCAGCGTCTCACCATGGCACAATGCTATGGGTAATGAGGAGCATTCTAAATAAAATATAATACATCCACTGTGATATATTGCAGTTCTAGTCACAAAGGTCTGAAATTGTAGTACACAGTAAGCCAAGTGTAGATCATTTGTCCACTGCAAGGGTTAAACAAGCCTTACAAAAGGACTGTCAGTTTCTAATGGGTTAAGTCAATTCCTTGTGGATCTGTGGCAGATTATGAAGCAGTGAATTAAGTTAGCAGGGGCTGCTGATTGCCTCTGACCAGCTCACAGCACCAAAGGCCATCTATCACAGGTCCTGACAGCACTCCAGAGTGGCAGAAATAGCGGTGCAGGAGCACTTAGCGAAGGTTTACTTCAGCATTACACCTTGCAAAATGCTATTAAGCAGCCTGATGTACAGATACCACAGACAGACAAAACTTTTAGCACTGTCTACAAAATCACAGCCCATCTGATCCCTTACCGAGAGCACGCATAGGGATAGAAAAGACAATCAAACAGTATTTATATAAACACATATTACAAACGGAGATAGATATATATATAAATAAAGTGTCCTTTGAGAAGTTCTAGAGACAATATAGCCAGGAGACCAAAAAATCCGGTCCTTTATGGATGCCCACAGAACCCCTTGATGGTAATCATTCCCATAATATATTCTTCACTGTTCGGTTTCCTCTGCATTATATGATTTTCGAGGGATTTTAGTGATTTCCTTGCTGGGAAAATTCTGTAATATCTATAATATATATCTAGACTGTAAGCTTGTTCGAGCAGGGTCCTCACCAACCTATTGTTCCTGTAATATTTTGTAATTGTCTAACTTATTGTTAAATGTCCCCCTTTTATAATAATGTAAAGCGCTGCAAAATAAATTGGCTCCATATAAATGCCAATACTGATAAAATGAAAAAAATATATAATATACATAGCCTTTGAATTGTGTGATTGTGAAAAAGAGTGCTGTGGGATATTTATATTTAAATGGTAATAAACCATTACATTCTACCCATTTATCATTTCTAAGTCTATATATTAGCTAGCAATTACTCTTCTGAATGTATATATTGTTTATTTTTAAATCCACTCAAAATGGAGTGCTTTAAACAAAATGGAGTGCTTAAACCTTTAGTTCCACGACAGACTATAATAGGTGAGACAGATTCTGTTTGAACCATTTGCCTGGATTTTCTGCCATTGTGTACATAAACAGTAGATACTCAAAAAAGCACTGGCGTTGCAGAACAGTGCTCTTACGAAACTCAAACATTTGGATTGCTCTCCTCTAATGATGGGAAGCATTTACACAGAGCTTTAAGAGGGAGTACATAAATCAGTTCATGACAGAAGTCACTGTAGTCTAGGACTGGGGTGTCAAACTATGCTTGAGGACAATAATCCTGATAAAGTATTAGAATGTTCTTAATTAACATGCAATTCAACAACATATGTTGTGTATAATAACGGAGGCCGAAAACCTGGTGTATCTGCAGCCTCCAGGACTCTTGTCTTCCAGAGGTGAAAAAGCCAATTGGTTATTGAACAGTGTGGGGAATCCTAGGGTTATTTCGAAATTGCAATCAGCAAGCAATGACTCATAAGTTTCTTTGATGAATTCTTGGTTCTAAAGGCAGTCAAAGCACCATGATGTGGTTCTTAATGACCTAAAAGTGAGATTTGTGGTTATTTGAGTGCCGGCGTGCTGTATATACAGGAAAAAGGTCAGAAGTCAATGCATCTTAAAGGAAGATGTAAGATACAATCCAGGAAGAGATCTGTATGACTTGGGTGTGTGGTAACACCTAGTTAACAATGCAGTGAAGTCACCTTAATGTATCGTTCTCAAGAGAATATCCTCCATCACACCACAGTCCATGCATTCAGCAATCAACAAACCACTACAAGGTCAAAAAGTGGAAATAAATAAACATACATACACACAATAGAGGTCATGGCTTTAACGACTTTTATTACATTTTTCTTGTCATTTTACAGGAAGGCCAGACCAATAAATTGCTTTTGACAAACTTCTAAAAACACTGTTTGTACAGACACCACCCTTAGATATACATATCAGAAATAAATAACCCGATATAAACCTACTAACAATTACAAATGCTGATATAACTAAAAATCACAAATCAATGTGATAAGTATACAAGTATAAAAAGTTATCAAGTAAATGTGGCTCAAAAAGTTATTTATCAACATATATGCAGAAAGAACATTGTAATGTATATTAACAACCAACATTGTTTTAGTTTTTTTACAAAACATACATACATTATTACATTTGAAAATTGTTCAGCTTATGCATAGAACTGAATTTACTTGTTTATAAATTTTTGTTAAAAAACACATTTTATATAACTCATGGAATTTTATAACATGACAGGAGGCTTCCTATTTTGCATTAACTCTCTTTACTAAACTCCACAGCAGTAAAGAAAAACGTAAAGAGTAACATTAAATCACTGAGCAGCATAGTATATATAAGGGTCATGCTGCCTGTACACTTCCTCTTTCTTTACTGCTCCACGCAGACAGGTCAGACTATTTGGCTCCTCCAGAGCCTTTTCTTGCATTTTCTGTATTAGTCTGTTTTATTTATTTTATTACTTGCCTTTAATTAATTTCTGTTTTGTCTGTATATTTATTATTTATATTGCCTGGCTAAGGCTGTGGGTAGGACTAGGTTTTACCCTTTTAGTTTCTCCCTCCCTGCCCCTCTGCCGGCCCTGGGACTCCCTGGGCTCCCCCCTGGGCTTCCCTCAGGCTCCCCTCCGGTTTTCCTACCTTGGGGTGCCCTCCTGGGCCCCCTACTTGCGACCGGAATAAATCGCGATCTTTTTCGCGCCGGCCGGCGCCCGCCCGCGGCCGGCCTTAAATTTAGTCCCCGGCTTGCGGCCTACACTCGCGGCCGCCATTTTGGATCGCGAATACCGCGAGATTCACATGGCCATCTTGTTTTTTCGCCTGGATCTCTCTGGGGACTCAGTACTTGCTGCCTTAGCTCCCTTCTACCTGCTTTTGTGCTGGTCTGAAGCCCTAGTGTGAACTCCTGCAGCCTATACTCTGTGACTGTGAGTTTCATCACTGTGAGTGACAGGATTACTTACACTGCAGGCCTATAATCTGTGGATGTGAATTTCATCACTGCAAGTGACAGGATTACCTACACTGCATGCCTATAATCTGTGGCTGTGAACTTCATCACTGTGAGTACCAGGATTACCTACACTGATAATATACTCTGTGGCTGGGTCAGTCAGGTCAGTGCTGCTGCCTGCTTATTATTGTGACC